CTTCTGCATTAAAAATTAAAGATTAAGTTCTAGATGTGTTTAAGCATTTTCAAGCCATGATTGAAAAAGAAACAGGGCTGAAATTAAATTGTATCCAGATGGACAATGGTAGTGAATACATTAGGTCATTTGATGAGTATTGTCGTAGCCAAGGTATTCAACATCGAAAGACAATTAAGAAAACTCCTCAACAAAATGGTGTTGCCGAGAGGATGAACAGCACCATTGTAGAAAGAAGAAGGTGTCTACTTTCACATGCTAAATTGCCAAGATCCTTTTGGGGTGAGGCAATGAGGATAGCGATTGATTTGATTAATTTGTCTCCTTTCTATCCTTTGAATGGTGGTGTTCCCGAAAGAGTTTAGATTGACAAAGATGTGTCTTATGAGCACTTAAAAGTGTTTGGTTACTAAGCATTTGTTCAAATTCCAAAGCATGAAAAGTCCAAGCTTGATAACATGTCAAGACAATGCATTTTTCTTAGCTATGGGCATGATGAATTTGGCTATAGATTGTGGAATCTAGTCGACAAGAAAGTTATTCGAAGTCTTAATGTTGTGTTCCTTGAAGACCAAACAATTGAAGACTTTGGCAAAGGTGATCAACTGGAACCAAAAACTAATGATCTCATTGATATAGATCCATCTCTTTCATTTTTAGTAGATGATGAAAATGGGGCAGATATGCAGCCACCTCTTGAAGATGTGGATGATGATACTACTCCAAATGAAGTTGAGCCCGAAATTGAGAAAGAGCATCTAATTCAAGAACCACCACCCCAACTTTAGTTGAGGAAATTTACAAGGGACCGACAACCTTCGAAAAAGTATCCTCCCACTGAATTTGTATTGATATCCGATCAAAGGGAGCCTGAGAGCTACCAAGAAGCAATTGAGGAAGCAAAGAAAAGTGGTTGGAAAGAGGCTATGGAAGAGGAAATGAATTCCTTGCTTGAAAGCCATACTAATGATTTGGTGAAGTTGCCTAAGGAGAGGAAAATTCTGAAAAATGAGTGGGTTTTAAAATTGAAAAATGATTGCGAGAATCTAAAATACAAGGCATGTCTTGTTGTTAAAGGCCTTGGACAAAAGAAAGGGGTTGATTTTGATAAGATTTTCTCGTCGGTTGTGAAGATGTCTTCTATTCGAGTTACATTTTGCATGGCCGCAAGTATGAATTTTGAAGTTTGAGCAACTTGATGTGAAGATCACATTCTTCATGGCGACTTTGAAGAAGAAATTTACATGGACCAACCAGAAGGTTTTGTGAAAAAGGGAAAAGAGCATTTAGTTTGAAAATTGAAGAAAAGTTTCTATAGCCTCAAGTAAGCATTGCGATAATGGTATCAAAAATTTGACTCTTTCATAATGGATAATGGGTTTTCAAAAACCACTTCGGATCATTGTGTGTTCTTAAGAGGTTCAACATAGATTAAACAAAGTCGGTTGGTTGTCCACTTGCAGGTCACTTCATACTTAGTTCGAATCAATGTCCCATAAGTGGGAAAGACAATGAAGAGATGTTGAAAATTCCTTATCCTTCAGCAGTTGGTTCTTTGATGTATGCCATGGTTTGTACAAGGCCGGATATTGCTTATGTCGTTGGTGTTATGAGTCATTTTCTCTCTAATCTAGGTAAAGAACATTGGGCAGCGGTGAAATGGATTTTAAGGTACCTTCAAGGGATTTCGAATATGTGTTTGTGTTTTGGGAATGGTAAGCTGATGCTTAATGGGTTCACGAATTCTGATATGGTCGGTGATGTTATTTATAGGAAATTTACTTCATGATATTTGATGACATTTGCAAGAGGAGTTATGGCATGGCAATCTAAATTGCAAAAATGCGTTGCTCTCTCAACTACCGAAGCTGAATTTATCGCCATTACGGAAGCTTGCACAGAAAAGTTATGGTTGGAGAAATTTCTACAATAGTTGGAACTGAAGTAAGAGAAGTATGTTCTTTATTGTGATAGTCAAAGTGTTATTCACTTAAATATGAATTTTACTTTTTATTCGAGATCGAAACACATTGATGTAAGATAACATTGGATTCGTGATATGTTAAATTCGAAATTGTTACATCTTGAAAAGCTTCGCACGGATGATAATATTTTGAATATATTGACTAAGACTTTGTCTAGGGACAAACATTTGAAGTGTTGAATTTTAGCGGGTATGATTGATGTCTCCACCCAAGTCGGTAGGGGAGAATTATTGGATATACCTCCTTAGTAGAGTATAAGACCCAAATTGATTTATTAAGGGAATATTTAATTTGGTTATAATATATATATATATATATATATTATCTGACATTTTGGAGGCTCAATAGCTATTTTAAAATCTTTTTAGTGCCGGTTAGAGTTTTGAGGAAAATGTCCAAAACGACATCTTTTCGGCATTGTTTATTTTGTATGTTGTGGCTGCTAATATTGATGAAAAAGTCAGTAGATTCAAGGCACTAAGAGCTCTGTTTTTTTTTTTTTTTAATCAATTTGTGGGTTGATTGGTTAAAATGTTGTGTGCTTCGAAGGTGCCAACTTTGGTTTAGATTTGGAGTCTTCTTTAACTCTGTTTCGAAGATAATTTATTTATTTATTTGATGAAATCTTTTCACTTATTTATTTGTGATTATTTGAAATTTACCTAAAGGTAATTTGTGAGACTATTGATATCTCATTTGTAATCGTTTGAAAATTTTTGAGTGATAATAGATTTAGATTTTGATGCCGTGAACGTAATTCACGTTAAAGAAACCATATAAAAATTATTATGTCGCTATTGATTTAATTTTTTCTTCAATTAGTTTATTTGTAATTCTCCTCTCCTTTCCTCTCTTCTTCAACTCCAAACCCCTAAACAAAGTGTTTTGAAGGATTTGCCTCTCTTCTTTCCGAAGAAACTGAACATTTGCCCTGCACACCTTTCTCCACCAAGTAAAACATCAGTGGCGCCCAAGTCTTAAGGGCGGTCAAAAATGAGGTGTCTACATAAGCTGATGCTTAATGGGTTCACGAATTCTGATATGATCGGTGATGTTATTTATAGGAAATTTACTTCGGGATATTTGATGACATTTGCAAGGGGAGTTATGGCGTGGCAATCTAAATTGCAAAAACGTGTTGCTCTCTCAACTACCGAAACTGAATTTATCGCCATTATAGAAGCTTGCAAAGAAAAGTTATGGTTGGAGAAATTTCTACAATAGTCGGAACTGAAGTAAGAGAAGCATGTTCTTTATTGTGATAGTCAAAGTGTTATTCACTTAAATATGAATTTTACTTTTTATTCGAGATCGAAACACATTGATGTGAGATACCATTGGATTAGTAATATGTTAAATTCGAAATTGTTACATCTTGAAAAGCTTCGCACGGATGATAATATTTTGAATATATTGACTAAGACTTTATCTAGGAACAAACATTTGAAGTGTTGAATTTTGACGGGTATGGTTGATGTCTCCACCCAAGTCGGTAGGAGAGAATTATTGGATATACCTCCTTAGTGGAGTATAGGACCCAAATTGATTTATTAAGGGAATATTTAATTTGGTTATAATATATATATATTATCTGACATTTTGGAGGCTCAATAGCTATTTTAAAATCTTTTTAGTGCCGGTTAGAGTTTTGAGGAAAATGTCCAAAACGACATCTTTTCGGCATTGTTTATTTTGTATGTTGTGGCTGCTAATATTGATGAAAAAGTCAGTAGATTCAAGGCACTAAGAGCTCTGTTTTTTTTTTTTTTTTTAAATCAATTTGTGGGTTGATTGGTTAAAATGTTGTGTGCTTCGAAGGTGCCAACTTTGGTTTAGATTTGGAGTCTTCTTTAACTCTGTTTCGAAGATAATTTATTTATTTATTTGATGAAATCTTTTCACTTATTTATTTGTGATTATTTGAAATTTACCTAAAGGTAATTTGTGAGACTATTGATATCTCATTTGTAATCGTTTGAAAATTTTTGAGTGATAATAGATTTAGATTTTGATGCCGTGAACGTAATTCACGTTAAAGAAACCATATAAAAATTATTATGTCGCTATTGATTTAATTTTTTCTTCAATTAGTTTATTTGTAAAAAATCATCTACCTTCCCTCACATTTATAGGATTGCTGCGAACTAGGGTCATTTGTTCGATGGATGCCATGCGCACGGCTAAAAGTCTTTTTCATTGGTTTTTTTTGAGCATGACAGTGAAATGGTGAGGCTATCATCGGTAGAAAGTCCAAGGAAAATAGAGGCATAGAAATTATGGTGGAGGTATATCATCCCAAAATAGAGTTATTTCTTTAACTTTATTTCTCAAAATCACAAGTTTTTAATTCAAAGTCTACCATCAAGGAGTTAGGTAAAGGTTTTTTTTTCAAACATATTGGCTGGACAAGCTTGACTGCAATGCAACAGGTCAAAATCCTCTTAATTACGGTTTTAAGCTCTTACAGAGACTTTTATGTCATCTTATTGAAATTTGGCCATCTGAAAATTATTTCTTCTCCAGCTCTGTTTTAAGTTTGGTTCCTTGTGTGCCTATCTCTAGCTCTCTAGCTTATCTCGACGATTTAAACTATTCATATTGAGATGCGTTAAGTATATTATTCATATAAAAATTGATATTCATCGGATATTACTAACTATTTGATCAAATTATATGTTCAAAAAATATATATATAATATGATCAAGTAACTACCAATGCAGATCTACATGATTTTCGCTATGAATAATATATTTGACAAATTTAGCAAAATAAAAGGTTCTAATTATTGAGATAGACTAAGATGCACCCAAAATAGGGCAGACTAGGCCTCTCCAATTCACTTTTGGTATCATTTACATAATAGGACATATTAGATAAAAAGGTATTGTTTGTATTTGATTCACTAAAATAAGATAGAATAGAAAGATTTTTTCATTATAATAATTTATTTTTAATTTGCCGAAAAATAAAGAAAAGTATATTAATGAATGACCATTTTAGTGTTTTTGCTTGGATACAACTAAATTGTAACTTTTTATTTGAGAAAGACAATATGGGTTACAGAAAATAATGAAATTACACTACTCTAAACATACATAAATTATATAAATCCATCAAATTTTCATCTGAAAATCAAACAACCATCTTTATTCAATCTGAATACTAACACAAATCATTCAACCAATACGATAATTAATAGTACACTAAAAAGAATGGCCGTGCCATATAAATTCGTCGTGTGTCAACCAAAAAAATCATTAACACATCACACCAATGGCAATGGACATCAAGACCACGGCAAAAGCAGCAACCGCCGTTGGTGGGGCGGAGGACGCTGGTGGTGGGGGCGGAGAGGCTGACGTGCCAGGTGATCCAGGCGAAGGAGCGGAGGGTGGTGGCGGAGATGCAGTGGATGATGGTGGAGGTGCAGTGGTGGATGGCGGCGGAGATGCAGTGGGTGATGGCGGAGGTGCAGTGGTGGATGGCGGCGGAGATGCAGTGGGTGATGGCGGAGATGCGGTGGGGGATGGTGGCGGAGATGCGGGAGAAGGAGAAGTTGTTGGAGGAGATGAAGGGGCACCAGAGGGGGCGGTGGTGGGAGAAGTGACATTGATGGCTAGCTTCTGGCCCTGGGTACAGTGGGTGCCGACGGTGCAGAAGAAGTAGTATTCGCCAGTGGTGTTGAGATTGATGTTTGTTGGACCATTGGTATCAATAGACATGGGAGAGGTGGGATTGCATGTATCATAAGCATTCTTTGAAACTCTAGCCACATTATGTTGTCCAGTAGCATAGTTGAACACTGCCCAAAAAAATTTTAAAATAAAAACTTGATCAAAAGTTCAACAAATATTGAGAATCAAAACATTAATTTTTTAATTTGTGTTAAATTGGTAATTTCAAATGGAGTGTCTAAAACATTAATAGAACGATCAAATTCACAGTTTCATGTCAGTGTGATCCTTTGTTTTTAATTTTGTCATTATGTTAGTTTGGTCAATTGGCTGTGTTTGCATCAAAAATTTGAGTGAATATTTGTGCAGTGAACAGAAAAGGAAAATGAAAAGTGAAAAGTGAAAAAAATTAGCCTTAATTTCAAAAATCTTAGTCATATATATATGATTCAAAAGATTTTTCATGTTTTCAATTTTGTAAATTTGATCCCTAAACACTGATGAGGGAAACGAAACATAATCTTAGGGTTAATAATCTCCCCCTACCCCATTAATAGGATTATTGATACTTCACTTATAATGTTGAGAAATGAAATTTATAAAATTGAAATTTTAGAAACCAAAGTAAAACAACGCATGGTGAATTTTATAGTTTTTCGGTTAACAACTTAGATGGTAATTTGTAATTGAACCAATTTAATTTAAACTAAAACAAAAAATTAAGAAATTCACAAAATTCAAAATTAATTGATTCAAATTAACTATAGGTGTGTTTTATATTATTTGTAATTGGATTCAAACCTATTTCTTAAAACAATAATTCTGCTTTTCTAAAAACACATAAAATTTATTTGACAAAAAGTCCAAGAAACTATTTTTTCGAATCTTTTTTCTGAAAACAAATCATATAATTAAGAGAATAAAAGCCAAGTTTACCTAAAATATCACCGGTGGCAAAGGTATGTTGGGAAGCCCAATTGGAATAAAAGGTGGCGCCCCCGGAAGGGTTGTTGACCCAACCCGTGTTGTCTCCGACGGTGTAATTTGCAGCAGCCGAGAGCTCTACCAGTACTGCTGCTGTTAAAGCCAACACTACAAGTTTTGTAAAACTCAAATTTGCAGTGGCCATCTCTCTCTCTCTATCTAGTGTTAGTGGTTTTTGTGTTCTCTGAATATGGTCACCCCTACTACTCTCTCCGTCCCTGTGTGTTTTGTGTTTGTAAAGAAGGAAGCTGTGAGTTTTATCTAAAGACCTTGTGGGTGTGTTGAATATATATATAGATAATAGAGGCAAGGCAACTTGGCACGGCAAGACCAATGACTTTGGAAGTGGTTGAGGGGTTCTCCAATGGATGAATGCCACGTTGAAAGTTGAGTGCTTCTCTGGTTGTTTAATGTTGTTGGATGGACATGGAAAAATCAAGAGAGAGAGAGAGAGAGAACTATTGCTTCGGTTGACTAGATCAGATCATCGTGCAAGCGTCAGGATCCTCTAAATAAAAGTCCTAGAGTGAGTAATTCATCCAACGGCTGAAATCAAACCTCATCAAATCGATATCGTTTTGGTGACTAATTTTAAACATACAAAAAAAAAAAAAAAAAATGATATGGCAATATCATTATTGTAAATAAATTCATTTTTAATGATATTTTATTTTGAAGTGAAAGGTCCACAATGAACCACATCATCATGTATGATTTTTTTAATTTTTTATAACATTACTAACATTTGACTAAGAAAAATAGGGTCCTGTAACTGTATATTTCTTAACGCTGTGTTTGGTTGAGGGATTTGAGATATAATTTGAAAAGGAAAATAGAAAAGTAAAATGAAATATGAATAAAATCTATATAATAAAGTAGAATGGTTTTTGAATTTGTCCTATACACATTTATCCTAACATCTCTTGCAAATATGAAGCATGAGAGAGAGAGAGAGAAGAGGGCTGAGAGGAGGAGAAGGACATCACTGCCCCACCTGCCCCTTCCCATCCCCAATGCGCCACCGTAGCCGTCGCCGCCGCTGCCGCGCCGCTGACAGAAGAAAAAACCCTAAGACTCCAAGACTGACTCCATGGAAGAGAAAGCAAAACTTATCTGGCCGGTTTGGGAATTCCACCGTAATCATGTACAGAGAAATACTCACACCCATGGTCAATTATATTTCCAAAAATTAATAACTTCTCCCATGAAAAACCCTAAAAGTACTTCTTGTAAACAATAAAAACAAGAACAACAAGAAGTGCTAAAAATCCAATCAAAATCCAACCCACTAACTAAAAAGCAGACATCAATCAATGGGATTAAAAGAACAAAAACTAAATTGTACATGGATTGAAATATAGAAAAAAAAGGTGCAAAAATAAATCAAAAATAGTTAGAATACCAATTTCTTGGAGTCATTGGCCATCTAGAGCTGGTTGTTCCATTAGTCGAGGGTGTGGCAGCTAATCACTTGTCCCTTCTCTGAAGTCATTTTTTGAGTATTGAAAATAATAATTAAAATAATCTCTTACTCTCTTGATTAATTGAAACAAGTTTATGAAAAGAAAAAACTATGCCAAAAATAGTTCTTTTTTTGTTTGCAATCTGAAGAATGAAGATAAAATGAGTCACCCCCCTCCCTTGCAGGGCAGTGGCGCGGCAGCGGCAATGGGGCGGCAGCGGCAGTGGCGCGTCTGGGGTGGAAAGGGGCGGGGCGGGGCGACGATGTCCTGCTCCTCTCAACCCTTCTCTCTCTCTCTCTCTCTCCCTCATGCTTCATATTTGCAAGAGATGTTTTGAATTAAAGTTGTCTTTTTTTTTTTTTTTGTTAAATTACTCACCAAAACGACGTCGTTTTGGTGAGGTTTGATTTCAACCGTTGGATAAATTTCTTTAGGAGATCACTCTAGTACTTTTACTTTACATGATCCTGACGCATCGTGCAATGGTTTTAGGCGAAATACAATTTGGGTAAATTACAAACACGCACAAATTATCCATATGATTTAAGAAATTATATCATGACTCTAAAGTTTTTAATTTTATAATAAATAGGTCTTTTATTAATAAATCATCAAGTTAATTAACAATTTTTAATAATGTCAAAATTTTATTTTAATTAATGATTAAGATACTTTTATTATTATATAAATAAAAAATTAGAAATTTTACTTTTTTAATTAATTCTGTTAAATAAAAAATTCTGACAGAGAGGTATTTGTAATTTTTCAAACCATAGAGGGCAATTTATATTTTAAAGAAATTTCAGGAAGGCATCGTTGGTAACTATATGGTAAGCAATGCACTGGTGGTTATGCAATAAGTGACGCATTGGTATTTGGCTTAGTCAAGGGGGAGTCAGAATTGCCCGTGGCCAATGTTAATGGTTGGGTAGGAACAACATTTCGCAGGGAGTTGCCTACAGTTAACTTAATTGACTGTTATTCTTAAGAACAGAAATTTATTATAAGCTCTACTTGATTATTGTTTCTACTATGTATTATTATCATGTCATTATTTTACTTATGTATTTAGAATGGAAAAAAGAGACAGGATGTGTGTGAGTTTACTGAACATTCTAAACTCATGACGTTTCATGCCAGGTGAAGAAATGTACTACCCGAAAGATGGTGCAACTGAGACTTTTGAAGAAGTATGACTTCCGTAGAAGAAATACAAGATTTGTTTGGTTAATGCCTACTTGTAATCTCATCTTGGGTTGTGGTCCTTCCAAATATAAAGAGCTGAGCTTAACATAGAGCCAGACATAACGTATCTCGATAGTTGTTGAGGTTAAGGGCGTACGTTGGGTTGATTTGAGACCAAGCTTCATTTCCGATCTACCAAAAATAAAAATGTTGAGACCAAGCCCAACTTAAATTGTTGTGTGAGTTATTTAAGTTCGCTTAAATTTAATTTATTACTCAAACTTTTCTATCGATCCTCAATTCAAGCATAATAAATGGAATTTAGGCTAATGTTATTTTATTTTATTTTTTCAATTAAGCTAACTAATTTGTTAAATTTAGACCATATTATTTTATTTTATTTTTAGTAAAATCATTAATAATATCAATACATATAATTTATATGAAAAGGAGAGACATAAAGAAGAAAGAAAAAAATCATCAAAGTGATTCGAAAAAATAAAAGAATGTTATTTTGTATTGTATTACTTGTGTATATGATATATAGTACAGATGTTCTAATGGTTCGTATAATTTTAACATTATTCAAAAGCTTATGACTTCAATATATAATACTTTTATATATTTATGAATGTAATTTAGGTTTGGATTATCAAGTACCTCTACTTAAGCACAACCTGAACTTCAAAATTTTTGTAGAAATTCGTACAAAATTAAAAAACATTTTTCTCAATCCAAAAAAAAAAATTCACATAAAAAAATCCTAAAAAGTTTCATATTGAGTTCAAATTACACCCCTAACTAGGGTATAAATCTACGAACCCAGAACTTTTAACAAAAAATGTACAACAAATGACAATATGTGATGTAAATTCAATTGTTGTTTGGTTTGGTGAGTTCTACACCTAAATTAAATTTGAACCATAAATTAGTTTTTAAATAATTTTTTTAAATTTATTGTTGGGTATATCTTTAGTGTAGTATGAGACCCAAATTAGTTTATTAAAGGAATATTTAATTTGATTTAGTGTTGGTTATAATATATTTCGTTTATATATATTATATCTAACCTTTTGGAAGCACAATGAGTATTTTAAAATATGTTTGGTGACACCTAGAGTTTTGAAAAAAAAGCCCAAGAGTCAACAACATCTTTTTGGCATTGTTTATTGTGTATGCTGCGGGTTGCCAATATTGATGAAAAATTCAATGAGTTCAAGGCACTGAGGGCATTGCTTTGTTATATAGTTGTTGCTTAATCAATTTGTGGGTTGGTTGGTTAAGGTGTTGTGTGCTTCAAAGGTGTCGACTTTGGTTCATATTTGGTATCTTCTTTAACTATGTTTCGAAGATAATTTGTTCATCTATTTGGTGAGGTCTTTCCTCTTATTTATTTGTGATTATTTGGAATTCACCTAAGGGTGGCTTATGAGATCATTTGTGTCTCGTTTGTAATCATTTGAAAACTCTTGGTTGATAGTGGAATTGGATTTTGG